TGAACCGCTTCAAAAATATGTTTATTTCACAAGACAAAAGCAAGAATGTTATCACTTAGTCCTGACACAAAATTGTCTGAGCAAGTCAGAGTACAGGGATGCACCACAGATCATGACCTACAATTCTCATTTCTCAGTAATTTCAAACTGTTCTTGAGTACTGTATCCACACATCCTTAGGAACATGGCCACTCAGCTTTTTAACACCTCTTTCCCCATGTAATCTTGGTCATTGCCACCTTTGCCAGGTGAGGTCTTTTACTTTTCATTGTTGTCTATCTAGAAGTTGTTCTTTAGCTTAAATAATCACATAGTTAACAGATTGTGGTTTTTCTTCCAAATTCCTTTGATATTCAATAATTTTATATTAAAAAATGGAAAGAGGATGATTTTTAAAAATATTTATTTACCTCATGCCAGTACAGTAGCAGTTTATCATGTAGAATGCAAAGGAGCTGATGGAAAGAAAATGCCTTCAGGTAATAACTCAGGGGTCTGTGTGTTAATTAGTAGTAATTCTCATTTAGATCTGGGTGTAACTCCAACTGCTCAGCTGTCGTACAGAGCAGAACAGGATTACCTGGTGTTGCTTGCATCAAAATTCAGAGGTCCTCAGACTTCTTTTTGTGCCTGTCTATGTTCTGAGAATTATTTGTGTAGCAGCCTTCTGAGAACACGCTTCCTTGCAGGTACGTTCTTCCCAAGAACAGATGGAGGAGATGCTGGGAGCAGAGCAAGAGCTGTAGTTGGGAGGTGAATGAAGCGGGGTTTGAGGAATGGAGTGGCATGGCTGAGCTGGGTTTTTTTATGGAGGAAGTAGTAGGCAGGAGAAGCAACAGGATCCTTTTTTTTTTTTTTGTCAGGAGCTACTGTGCTGAGTTACTGTTCCTCAGTGAGGGCTTTGAGACAAGAGCCAGTTTTATTTGGAGGGTGGGGGTGTCTTTGTTACCAGCAACTCCTTTGGTCTGTCAGAAGACTTTATTGTCTGTCTTCTGTTGCAGAACTCGTGGCACTTCTATGTTCAAACAGGTCTAAAAACACTGGGTTTTAAGATGGAGTTGTAATGCAGACTGTTAAAGCAGTGGCCTGTGGATGTCTGAGCAAGCAGCAGTGACCCAGCTCTAGACCAGGTTTGAAATGTCTGGGTTTCCAGTGGTCTTATTTATTCTTACCTAAACAAAGCCAGTTGTTAGTCACTCTGTTTAGACCTTGTGTGTCTGTATAAATGTGTAGATATATAAAAAATGCATATGTATGTTCACATGTGTGCCTCTTTAAGAGTAAAACACGTTTGCAGAAGATTAAAAAACAGGAAAGAACTAATTTTGGTAAAACTGGGGAAGATTAGATATGAAATAGTGAGGAGATGTTCATTTCTCTGCTTTGACATTTGGAATACAACACAGGTGGAAGGAGAGGATATAATAGAGTAATAGATTTGCATTAAAGAATAGTTTTATTTTGTCTCCTTAGTACTGCTAACAACTTCTCATGCATCCAGGAGATGTACTTGCTATGTGTGAGAGGTGGGGGCCTCTGACTGAGGGAAGGGTGTCAGGAGGGGAACTTCTTTTCTCTCATAATCAACAGATAAAAAGTGCAAGAACCAGCGTGTTGAAGTCGTGGTTCTTTAGTGTGTGATATTTGGTAGATGGAGGCTATACATGGCATCTTGTAGTGGTAGAAGGCGAATATAAAATAGGAATATTTTCTAATACTGATTTGATCCAACTGCAGAGGAAGCATCGCTTGGATGTATGTTTAGCATCTTTGTTTTTTTGTCTTTCATGCCAGCTCTATGTGGCCACTGAAGCCATCCTCATTGCATTGGTAGGTGCAACTCCTCCCTACCAGTGGGACCTCCAAGAGCTCTCAGCTAATCAGAGCCACAGCAACCAGTCAGTGAGCGAGCAGAGAGCTTTTGGGGAATGGCTTCTGACCGCCAATGGCAGCGAGGTGCATAAGCATGTACACTTCAGCAGCAGCTTCACATCAATAGTCTCTGAGGTAAGTCTGAAATGTGTTTTGCTGCCTCGTCTGTGAGTAGTAAATCTTATTGGGTCAGTTGTGGGGGGCTGGGTGTACTCCTTCTTTCTTCCATACTAATGCATGTTTTGATTAGCAAATGAAATGGGTGCTACCTCCAGGTAGAGAACAGGTAATCTATTCATATCTTTACTGGCAACAAGAACTAGCTTTATTTTGCTATGCAGATCTTGACCACAGTTCTGTTCCAAAGGTTCCCACCTTTTCCATGTGGAAGTTATGTATTGGATCCTGTAGCCTGGTTCCACAATTGAGCTGGAATCATGTCATTTGTTGTACTAACATGCTCAAAACCCTTTATGGACCCTGAGCTCTTTCTGGCCACCTCCTGTGATTCCCTTGCTAAGGTCAAATGTGTGTAGTGCATCCATCATGCAGTTAGCAAGCAGTGGAGGAACGGGAGAGAAAGTAGCTTCTGCAGTCGTTGCAACTCCAGATGTGAGGGAAGGCATGAGCGGTGGGGAGACAGGTGGACAAAGCAACTCCCCCCATTCTATTGCAAAATAAGCTTTAGCTTTATTGGTGTGTCTTCTATCATGGTCCAGCCACAGCCCCTATAGAAATGATTCTAGACTCTGCGCTGATGTGTGCAACACCTGCCCTTCCTGGGGCCTTCAGTGTCTGTTAATGTCAAATTGTTCTGTGCACGAGCCCTATCCGAGTGCATCTGTTACAAGACCTGAATTTAGAGCTATACAGTTGAGTCAAGTGTCGTACCACTTGATTCATGGCTATTGTCATCTGACTTAGTCCTGTAAAGCACTTAACTTCATTGGTTATGAGCATATTAATAAAAACTGCCAGCTTTGGAATAGTACCAAGCAGTTGTGTACAACAGGCATTGCTGCTGCTTCTGGTAATAAAGAGGATATGAGTACTTACACCACTATTTAAATTGAAATCCTAATGGATGGTGGATTTTTTTAAGCATTATTAAAAGCTCAGTAAGGTTTTCAAACTTTCTCTGGGCTTTTTCTTTTTTGCTTTTTAATTTATCCAAGAATCTTTTATTCTCTTAAACTTGACAAGTCAGACATGTTTGTAGATCCTAGCAGTGTTTTAGGACCAAGTTTGTAAAGATTCTTATGCATTTTAGTTGCATAGATAAGAAATGCAGATAAAGAATGAAGCTTACTTGAAAAATACAAAATTAAAAAAAGGCAGCCTGTGTAGATTCTACTTTGAAGTTCTTTAACATACTTCTCAGTAAAGGTCCATGTGTATAAAATCTTGTTGCCTCTCCTCTTTCCCACTGTTAAAATACATTTTTTCAAAACTTGTTAGCTGAATGTGTCATACATTTGGAAGTTATGTGCTAAATACAAAGATTTTAGTGATATCACACTTACTTGGGGAATATCTGTCACTGTCTGGTTTCATTACTGATGTATAAAGAAGCTTTTTCTGCATTTGAGGAGGATGTTTTTCATGCTTATCTTGTGGCATCACTAATAACATGACCATTGCAGATTCACACTAAAAAATATTTTGATGTAAAAAAACTTGATTTACGAATATCAGGCATATATATATAACATGCTTTATGTAAAAGAGAAAAGCCTTGAGCCCTTTAAAGGGCTTCTTAGCTGTTGAGATTAATTTGCAGAACAAATTTTGCTTCTCAACTAAATTATCCCTTAATCCCTGAATGATACAGAAACCATCTAATGTCACTGAGTTTCAGTGTTGGCAGCTCTTTTAATTTTTGTACCAGAAGTTAGGGCATGATTCTTGTAGGTCTTATAAAACAAACTGACCATGTTATTTCAAGGTAAAATTAATCTCATGTGCTATTATACAGATGTATTTTTCTGGGAATTGTTTTTAAATTCTAGAGAAGCTTCAAAAGCTGATTTGTGGTCACATGGACCACAAAATTGAATTTTCTCAGTCTTGATGCTTTATGGGCACATTACCTATCGTATCAGTAAACACCTCACCATTAAAGTGACAATTCAAAATGAAGCATATACTGAGAGTAAGCAAGTTATTTTCTTGGAGATTCTGAATGACTTTGTTTCGTTAGCTCCCTGATCTTGGTGAGGTTTAATTGCATGGCTCTGTTCTCATGGGGAAGTAGTTTATAACTGAGCTTTGAAATAATATAAGCTTTGCTAGAAAGGATATTTAATGGGGTTTTGGTAGAGGAAGAGAAGATTATGAGGAGAAGATTAGAGTGTTATTGCAGGGATAATGACATAATCACCAGCTTATCAGCAGAGGAAGAAAAGTTGGGTGTCACTAAGAGGAAATAGTATTTCAAGATGCAAGAGGAGTAGAAAAAGAAAAGAATACAAGATGTAGAGTTTTTAGAATACAAAAAGAAATAACTTTTGAACAGTGAGAGCATGGTGTATTTTCATTCTACAGTTTTGGGGGAGAAAGAATTTCCTGTCAGATTCAACCTGAGACATTAAGTCTGTAAGAATCAAACATATGAAGATCAGGTTTGTATTTGGAATTGAGAAGAGCTGGAAATGACACAAAGTCGACTGCAAAAAAATGAGCATTTGAAATACCAGAAAACCTGTCTAATGCTACCAAAGTGTTTCTCAGTGACAAGACAGTTCATAAGGAGGAGCATATGCAGGATTATCTTTGGACATAAACCTGTGGTTTATTTTTATTTTTGCATAGTATGTGTTGTGGTTTAACCCCAGCCAGCAACTATGCACCACACAGCCACTTGCTCACTTCCCCCCGGTGGGATGGGGGAGAGAATCAGAAGAGTAAAAGCGAGAAAACTCATGGGCTGAGATAAAGACAAGTTAATAGGTAAAGCAAAAGCTGCACACACAAGCAAAGAAAAACAAGGAATTCATTCACTACTTCCCATCGGCAGGCAGGTGTTCAGCCATCGCCAGGAAAGCAGGGCTCCATCATGTGTAACGGTTACTTGGGAAGACAAACACCATCGTGCCCAGTGTCCCCCCCTTCCTTCTTCTTCCCCTAGCTTATATACTGAGCATGATGTCATATGGTATGGAATAGCCCTTTGGCCAGTCTGGGTCAGCTGTCCTAGCTATGCTCCCTCCCAGCTTCTTATGCACCTGGCAGAGCATGAGAAGCTGAAAAGTCCTTGACTAGTGTAAACTCTG